TATGTAATAAAAGTTATAATATAAGAAAATATGTAATAAATATAATATAAAAATAGTTTGATAACTATAAGAAAATATGTAATAAAAGTTATAATAAAGAAATATGTAATAAAAGTTATGATTTAAGAAAATATGTAATAAGTTATAATATGAAAATAGTAATAAAAGTATAAGAAAATATGTAATAAAAGTTATAATATAAGGAAAATATGTAATAAAAGTTATAATATAAGAAAATATGTAATAAAAGTTATAATATAAGAAATATGTAATAAGTTATAATATAAGAGTATAAATTAAATAAAAGAAAATATGTAATAAAAGTTATAAATATGAAAAATATGTAATAAAAGTTTAATATAATAAAAGGAAATAATATAATGCAGTTATAATGAAATTACTGTAGTATACACATACTCGTTATTGCGTAACTTCCTTTGTTATAAGGAAAAAATATAACGAACGAAAAGGGAAAANTATGTATATATTTACATATATATATATATATATCCTCATAAGGGCAATTATGTTCAATTACTAATCCCCATCATTACCATATACCATTGATTCTACCACTTGTTATTCGTCTAATCCCGAGTACCATGACCATCATTATCACCCCTTTATCAGTAATATAATTCTCCTCCTCGTTATCCCCTGTTTATCATCTCTTTTACCTCTATCATTGCATTAATCCTTATCTGTGTAATGCTATCGATGGAGGTGATAGTGATAGTAATTACAGTTGAAAGTTTCCTGTAATTACAGTTTAAAGGATCATGGAATTTCATTATGTATCATGAGGAATGAATGACACAGAGTAGGAAGGAAAAGGTCGTGACAAAAAAGAAGAGTAAAAAGGAAGGAAAAAATGTTTATAAAACGAAAAAGAGAGAAAAGGATGATGGTAATAAAAAACACAATAGATTATGAAAATTTAAAAAAGGGAAAAAAAAAAAAAAAATTAAATGGAATGAAATATAAAACCCTATATAAATGAAGAAGAATAAAACAAAAAGTGGCAGCGAAGAATACGAAAAATAACATCTTTATACATATAAAAACAGAAAAAAATGAAAAAAATAGATAAAAAATAAATGAAATTCTGACTTCCCTCCTTTCCGTTTTCCTAACCCTTCTCTTCCTCCTTCTTCCTCCCTTCCTCCTTCTTCCCTCCCTTCATGTTTTCTCACCCTCCTCTTCCTTCTTCCTCCTTCCTCCCTCCCTCATTCTTCAACCAACCTCCATCCCTTCCTCCCTCCCTTCCTCCTCACCCTCCCTTCCTCCTTCCTCTCTAACCTCCCTTACTCCCGGCTTCCTCGACTTCCTTCCCTCCCATTCTCCTCCCCCTCCTCCCTCCTTCCTCAACCTCCCTCCCTTTTTTCCTCCTTAACCTCCCTCATCTCCCCCTTTTTCTGCTGGTCAAAAGACATGATGTGGTAGCTGCCCGGCTCCGCCCCCTTCCCCGTGTGGAGGGGGAGGGGAGGTGGAGGTAGAGGAGGAGGAGAAGGAGGAGGTGGAAGGGGAGGCAGAGGACGTGCCCCAGTACTCATCGTGCAAGTCCTGCGATGCACAGTGCCAACCACCTACAGCATTACCGCCTCGATTGCCCGAAAGTGGCTGATTTAATAGCAAAGAGATTCTGTCGTAGAAATTAGCAAAGGATAACAGATTGACACTCTAGACAAAATACTGTTGCAATACCCATGTTCTGGTGGCTTTTAATTCTCTTTTTTTTGGAATTTCCATTGTTTATCATGTATGTGATTATTTCATCTCTCCCTCTATAGTTTACGCATGGCGTGTCCTGCGTGTCACGAATCCTCTGCAGTCATTTATTTGTACTGTATAGAGATGTCGCTTCCTGAGCGAAATAAATTGATTTTAAAAAATCCACTCTATCTTCCTCTTTAACCTCCACATCTCCCTTCCTACATTCCTATTTAACCTCCTCTCTTCCTCATCAACCACTCTCACTTCTCTCTTCCTNTCCGTCGACCTCCCTCCCTTCCTCCTCTACCTCCCTCCCTTTCCTCCTCTACCTCTCCCTTCCTCCTCTTCCTCCTCTTCCTCCCTCGACCTCCCTAGACCTCCTCCTCCTCTTCCCTCCCTTCCTCCTCTCCTCCTCCTCCTCTTCCTCCTCTCCTCCTCTTCCTCCTCTTCCTCCCTCGACCTCCTCGACCTCCCTCCCTCCCTTCCTCCTCCCTCCCTCCTTCCTCCTCTTCTCCTTCCCTCCTCTTCCTTCTCTTCCTCCTCTTCCTCCCTTCCCTAGACTTCCTGCCTTCCCCTCCCTCCTCTCCTCCTCTTCCTCTCTCCTCCTCTTCTCCTCTTCTCCTCCTCTCCCCTCGCCTCTCCTCCTCCTCCTCCTCCTCTTCCTCCTCTCTTCCCTCCCTCGACCTCCCTCCTTCCTCCTCTTCCTCCTCTACCTCCTCTTCCTCTCCCTCTTCCTCCTCTTCCTCCCTCCCTTCCTCCTCTTCCTCCTCTCCCTCCTCTTCCTCCTTTCCTCTCCCTCCTCCCTCGACCTCCCTCCTGCCTCCTTACCGTCGAAGTCGAGCGTTCCCGAGCCGTCTGAATCGACCTCCTCAATGATGGCGTCGAGGTCGTCCTCCGTTAACCTCGGGTCCAACTCCTGGAGGATCTCTCGGAGTTTCGAGTTGTCGATGTATCCGTTGCCTGGAAAGATGGGTTGCGGATGAGTGGCTGGGTGGATGAGGAGGCGTGTTAGGGGTAGGTGGATGGATGAGTTGGTGGATGAATGGATGTGTTGGGGTGGGTGGATGTGGTGGGGATGGATGGAAAGGTGGATGAGGAGGGTGTTGGGGTGGATGGATGAGGGGGTGTTGGGGGTGGGTGGATGGATGAGTTGGTGGATGAGTGGATGGAAAAGATGGATGTGGATGAGTGGGTGGATGGATGAGTTGGTGGATGAGTGGATGTGTTGGGGTGGGTGGATGTGGTGGGGATGGGTGGGTGTGTTGGGGCTGGATGGATGAGTGGATGGATGGATGAGGGGTTGTGTTGGGGATGGGTGGATGAATGCGTTGGTAGATGGAGGATGGAGGGATGGAGGGATGGATGAGTGTGTTGGGAATGGGTGGATGAGTGGATGTGTTGGGTAGGTGGGTGGGTGTGGTAGGTGTACACTTCGGGGTGGATGGATGTGTTGCTGGGAGGAAGGAGGATGGGTGGATGTACTCTTCTCGGTGGGAAGCGTCGGTGTGGATGTGTGTGGATGAATGGACTGATCGACGGGTGAGTGTGTTGGTGGGTGTGGAGTTTAATGTTTGTATGTATAAAATAAATGAATGAATGGATGGATACAAACATACATAAGTACGAATATGAATGGATGGATGGATGGACGAATGTACGTATGGATGTATGCTTGGATAGTTATATCTATATATGTATGTGTGTATATGTATACATGTATGTATTTATGCACACATAATATATAAAAAGATATTAACACAATAACATTGATAGTAAGTCCTTATATTGAAGTATCATCATTAAAACAATCATTGAATACAATCTAATTAGAATGTATAAAAGGCTCTATGACACTCTCACCTTTTCCGTCAATTTTTGCGTTTCCGAATGAACTTTCCTTATGAAAATTGACCGACCCATAGAAACATTTTCAACCATTTGTATTTAATACCATAAACGAATAATAATGAACAAGTGTCATATCATAATGCAAATCTTAGCAATAGATATCATAATATAAACAAGCAATATTCTCTACTAACTTAATTTAGATCTAAAGTTCACTCTATCACACTATCACTTTTTCCGTCGATTTTATGCGTTTCCGAATGAACTTTCCGAGTGAAAATCGACTGGCGCCTCCCCCCACCCCACCCCACCCCATCGCCAAGGAAACAGACATCGCCAGTGTAAACAAACATGGCGCTATCAGAGTGAGGTCCCGGGAATCACACGAACATTCTCATACATATTACCTTATTTTAAAGAAATATGATGATCTATGTTGCATATACGAATGTTCTAAAATATCAACTTATGTTCATATTCACTCATTCTATCTAATTTATCAGTAAAGACATTCTAGCTGTATAGATCCTTCGTTGCACAAGATCAAGACGGAAATTAGTCAGACGGAAACGATCGTAACCGTCTTCGTCTGGGAGGCTTTCCGTTTGCAGACGACATTTGCGGAAAGCCTCGCATTCAGACGGAAACGCAAAAATTGACGGAAAAAGTGCTAGTATGATAAGGCCTCAAGGTTTGGTGATAAGGCTTATTTGTCTCTTATTTGCATCTCTCATCATTCCTTTTTCTTTTATCTATTTATCTGTTTCATAATTTATGCGAGCGAACTTTTGTAGCCTTCTCTTGTATACGCTTCCTTGGCGCGACCGAACTAAGGCGCTGACCTTACGCTAAGGACTTGTGATAAACCTTATCTACCTCTTCCTTATTTATACTCTGTTTCCTTTCTTTTTCTTCATCTATTTATCTATCTCATTTTTCATACGAGCGAACGTTTGCCGCATCCTCTTGTACACTTCCATGGCGCGAACGAACTTTAGGCGCTGACCATATGCTCAGGTCTTGTGATAAGCCTTATCTACCTTCTCCTTATCTACACCCCTTATCATTTCTCTTTTCTATATATATTTATCTATTTTATATTTCACGCGAGCGATTTTTCCCGTCTCTTGTATACGCTTCCTTGACACGACCTACTCTTAGGCGCTGACCTGACGCTAAGGGTTTGGTGATAAGGCTTAAAGTTTTGTGATAAGACTTATCTGTCTCGTCCCTACTTACACTCCTTATCGTAAAATCGGAAGGCTTCCTTGAGTTCCTTCTTCAGCGCCTCCTCGTCCTCCTCCATCAGGAACTTGGCGGCGAGCTCAGCGAATTCCTCGAACTCAAGAAGGCCAGATCCTGAAAGAGGTAGAAAGGTTGAAAGGTTGGAAAGTAGAAAGGTAGAAGGGAAGAGAGGAAGAAAGGTTGAAAGAGAGGAGAAATGTGGAGAGGAAGAAAAGTAGAGAGGAAGAAAGGTTGGAAAGTTGAAAGGTAGAAGAAAGAAAAGGAAAAAAAAGGTAAGAGGAAGAAAGGTAGAAAGATAGAAAGGAAGAAAAACAGAAAGGTAGTGTAGAAAGGAAGGTAGATAGCAAGGAAAAAGGGTAGCGTAGAAAGATAGAAGAGCAGAGAGGAAGGAAGATAGAAAGGAAGAAGGGTAGCGTAGAAAGATAGAAAAGCAGAGAGGAAGAAAGATAGAAAGGAAGAGAGGAAGAAAGGAAAAAAGGAATATAGGTTGAAAGATAGAAAAGAAGAAATGTAGATTAAGTGGGAAGAATAGGAAGATAGGTAGAAAGGAAGAAAGGTAGAGTAGAAAAGAAGAGAGGAAGAAAAGTACAAAGAAAGAAAGGTAGAGTGCAAAGATAGAAAGGAGAAAGAAATAAAAAGAAGAAATGGGAGAAACGCAGAAAGGAAGAGAGAAAGAACGTGTTAAAGATTATCAGAAGCGATCATGATTATTATTGATAATTGAAAATAACAAAAAAAGAAGAAGATGATTAGAATTATGAATAAGGAGATATCGGTAATATAGAAGAATATTGGAAAGATGTGAATATGATAATAACAGCAATAGGAAAAGAAGATCGGATTTATGAATAGCGTGAAAATGATAATAAAAAGGAGATTTCTAAGAATAGCGAAGAACAGAATAAGAATAATATCGATAATATGGAGTTTATTGATAAGGACGAAGAGGCGAGACTGTACGAATATCATCATGAATACATAATTATCATAACATCACTGTCACCATACAGACATCACTGTTGCCAGAAAAAGGAGCATCACCTTTTCAAAACGCCATCATCATCATAAATCACAATACACCCATCCACTATTAAAGATAGTCATCATCATCATACATGCATCACCATCACTACAAATGCACCATCACCGCAACACGCCGGTGCCAGAAACGCATCACCATCACACTGTCAACATCACACTATCGCCGTTCACTCTCATCATCATATCCCAACACATATTCCGAAACAATCCTTTACAACCATCTCTCCATCTCTCATTCCCGACCATTCACCACATTATCTTCCTCACCTTCACCATCATTCTCCATCACTCACCTTTACTACACCATCATCTCCATCACTCCCATCAGCACCCCCTTCACTTACCATCACTCCACTCATCATCACCATCACCACCCCCATCCCCCCCCATCCCCTCACCAATCAATCATCCATCATCCCTATCACTCACTTTCACTCACCATCACCCCATCACCTTCCCCCCCTCCCATCCCCCATCTACCCCCATCCCCCATCCCCCCGTCACCATCACTCACCATACCACCACCCACTCCCATCACCCCCCATCCCCTCCCCTCCCCCATCCCCTTCCCCCCCCATCCCATCCCCCACATCCCCCCCCGCCCCCCACCCTTCCCCATCCCCCTCCCCATCCCCGTCACCATCGCTCACCATCCTCGTCCGTCTCGGCGATGACCTCCTGCAGGTTCTTCTCGGAGATCTTGATGCCATCATCCTCAAGATGATGCCCACGGTCTCTCCGGTGATGGATCCTTGGCCCTCGGTCGAAGGAGTTGAAGGCCTTGCGGAGAGCTGGCGGGGGGGGGGAGAAATGAGAAGGGGGTTTTAGATTTTGTTGCTGTTGTTTCTATCTTATTTCTTTTTATTGGGGGAGGGGGGGAGGGGGGAAATGAAAAGGGGGGGTTTTTTTTTTTTTTTGTTTTTTTTTGGGGGGGAGAGGGAGAGAGAAATGAAAAGGGATTTTTTGGGGGGGGCGGGAGAGAGAGAGAGAGAAAATGAAAAGGGGGTTTTTATTTTTTTGGGGGGGGCGTAGAGGGAGAGAAATGAAATGGGGTTTTAGAAACTTTTTTTTTAAGAGGGATGGGGGGTGGGGAATAAAAATATATAGTTTTTATTTTATTATTATTATTGGGGGGGGGGGGCTGTCGTGGAAAGAGTGAGAAGAATGTGTTTTTTTTAGAAACGTTTTTCCCTTTTCTATTTTAGGAGGGATGCATGGTTGGGGAGATAGGGGGTAGATTTTTTTTCATATTATGTATTTTTACTTTTTAATTATCTATTCGTTTATTTTTGAGAGAGAAAAAAGGATTTTTTAAGGAAAGGTGTCATGGGGAGAAAAAACGTAGATTGAGATTTTTTTTTTTTTTTGAAAGAGAGCTGTCTTGTGGAGAGAGAGAGAGAGAGAGAGAGAGAGAGAGAGAGAGAGAGAGAGAGAGAGAGAGAGAGAGAGAGAGAGAGAGAGAGAGAGAGAGAGAGAGAGAGAGAGAGAGAGAGAGAGAGAGGGGGGGGAGAGGGAGGGAGGGGAGGGAGGGAGGGAGAGAGAGAGGAGGGAAGAGAGAGAGAGAGAGAGAGAGAGAGAGAAGAGAGAGAAGAGAGAGAGAGAGAGAGAGAGAGAGAGAGAGAGAAGAGAGAGAGAGAGAGAGTAAAAAAGAAGAAAGGAGGTTTAGAAAGTCATGGCATGGAAGGAAAGAGAAAAAGGAAAAGGGGGCTTTAGAAACCTTTTTTTTTCTTAAGGAATGCGTGGGTGGGGAGAAAAAGGGGTTTAGATTTTTTAAAGGAGAGAGAGAGAGAGACGAAAGAAGAAAGGAGGTTTAGAGAGCTGTAATAAGGAGAGAAAAAAGGAGGTTTTTTTTATAACGGGAAGGAAGGTGGGATTGGAGAGTTGTCGTGGGGAGAGAGAGATGAAGAAAAAAAAGGATAGGAAACGAAAGAGAGGAGATAAGAGGGAGAGGGGATAAAGGGAGAGAGAATTCGAAAAGAAAGAAGGAGGGGCATTAAAGAGCATAGGAATGAGAAGAAGGGAGGAGAAAGAAAGGAAAAGGAAATTGTCTGGATGGGATGGTCAGAAACAAAAGAGAAAAAGGAGTTTATAAACCTTTTTTTAAGGATGGATGCATTGGTGTTGAAGAGAGGGAGGTTTAGAAAGCTTTTTTTTTTAAGGAGAGAGAGAGAGAGAAGAAAGGAGGTTGAGATTCTATAAGAAGACCTGTCATGGGGATAGAGAGAAAAAAAAGAAAAGGATATTTTTATTTTTTTTTTTATTAAGTTGGAATGCGTAGTGGGGGAAGAAAGCGAGGTAGATTTTTTTAATAAAAGAAAGGCGGTTTAGAAAGTTTTTTTAGAGAGAGCTGTCATGGAGGGAGAGAGAGAAAATAAGGAGGTATAGAAACCTTTTTTTCAGGAGAATTGTCAGGGGGAGCGAGAGAGGGAGATACAGGGGGGTATATTTATTTTTCTTTTTTCTTTCCTTTTTTCTAGGGTGTAGGGGGGGATGCGGAGGAGCGGAAGAGAAGAAAGGTAGAGAGAGAAATAAGGAGAGAGAGAGAGAGAGAGAGAGAGAGAGAGAGAGAGAAGAGAGAGAGAGAGAGAGAGAGAGAGAGAGAGAGAGAGAGAGAGAGAGAGAGAGAGAGAGAGAGAGAGAGAGAGAGTGAGAGAGGAGGGAGGGAGGGAGAGAGGAGAGAGAGAGAGAGAGAAGAGAGAGAGAGAGGAGAGAGAGAGAGAGAGAGAGAGAGAGAGAGAGAGAGAGAGAGAGAGAGAGAGAGAGAGAGAGAGAGAGAGAGAGAGAGAGAGAAAGGGGTGAGGTTTTAGAAAGGGGTTGGTATTCGTTTTTTTATTTTTTTATTTCTTTTAAGGAGGGCTCCGTGGTGGGGGGAGAATCATTATTACGATCATCACCACTATCATTTCATCATTATTATTGTTATTATTATCATTATTATTATCATTAATCATCATCAATATCATCATTGTTATTACTACTATTACTACTACCACTATCATCATTATTACTCTAATTAATACTATTATCATAACGCCTTTGAAAATATTGACTTTTGGATCTCTTTTTGTAACAGGAATAAAATTTTCACTTTCATTTTCACTTTCTTCTACTAACCTTCAAGTTGTTCTTCTTCAAGGGAATCCTGCAAAGAAAAAGAAGCTTCGGTTAGTGGAACAATTTTCACAGTTTTGGGTAACATAGATCTTATTGTTTATTGTTTTGTTCCCTATCTATTTATCTATCTCTCTATCTATCTGTCTGTCAGTCTATTTGTCTATCTATCGACCATCTATCTAATCTGTTTGTCTGTCTATTCATCTATCTGTCTTTCTATCTATCAGTCTATTTATATATCTATCTATCTACCTATTTATCAATCTATCTATCTATCTATGTATTTCCATCTATACCACTGACAGCTGAAGAAAAAAAATCGCAAAAAGAAATTGTAAAAAATGTAAAAAATATCCACGTATTCAAACACAGAAAAGCGAAAAGCAGATAGTAAGAAAGATAATAATAATAAAAGCAAAAGGAAAAAAAGGAACATTTCATTTTGGCGTATCCTATTATCGATTTTTTTTTTTTTTTTTTTTTTTAAGGGGAGACCCAAAATTGCGTGAATTTGTGATGGAATTCAGCTATAAGAGATTACTTGATATTGGCAAAGGGAAGTTGTGTCTCTGTGTTATTTTGTGAAGGGTGGGATGGGGTGGGAGAGGGGGGGGGTATAGCGTTCTGATGGCTGTGTTCTGATTTTACTGTGTGTTTCATCTACTTTCTTTCTGTTTTTGTCTCTTTCTTTTTCTCGGTCGGTTCGTCTCGTTCTCTCTCTTTCTCTCGTTCTCTCTGTCTCTCTCTCTCTCTCTCTCTCTCTCTCTCTCTCTCTCTCTCTCTCTCTCTCTCTTCTCTCTCTCTCCTCTCTCTCTCCTCTCTCTCTCTCTCTCTCCCTCTCGTCTCTCTCTCTCTCTTCCCTCTCTCTCTCTCTCTCTTTCTCTCTCTTTGTGTGTGTGTGTGCATGTGTGTGTTCCTATGTTCACATGTTCTGGTCAATACTTCCATTTCCAATACTGCGTTGTTCTTTATATTTTTCTCTTTTCGGCGATTGTCAACGAGCATAAGATGTCTAACTCTTTTTTTATTATTATTTTTA